AAAAAATTATAGATTCTTGGTCTCACTTACCCTTTTTCGTTGTATCGACAAATCACTGCTCTCCTTCTCTAAGTTCAGTTGTCATTCTGCCTGAATTCCTTTCATTTCCAAGTTTATTCCTGGAATTCTTGTTTCCTTTTTGCCTTCCTCACCGTGTATGTATCCGGCTCTATTGAAAATGTTATCTTTTTAAACCCAGCCAAACGTCTTTCGCAACAGTCAACTATTGAATCACCAGACCTTTTCAATATTATCTTCCTTACATGAACCAGAGCAAGCTTATCTGCTATAGAGGCAAATCTGAACAGCTATAAGTCAACCTGGTAATTACATCAGTGTGGTTCGATTTTACGCAATGCCTACCCTTTTGATCAACAAGCTACTGAAGATGCAGAACAACAGAACATAGCATTCTGGAAATCCTCAATCACATTCAATTGAAAACCTTCACCGAACGCCGCAAAGTCACATTAAGCAGACAAGATTTATAACAAATATAATGCATTGAAATGACCAGTTGCTGGACCTCTAGCACTGTGGTAACAAGCAAGTTTTGAAATTGGCACAACTAATTTGCTGCGAGGTCTCTAAAAACAGCACACATTCTAAAGTGCCTATTTACGTACCCTTCGACAACGTGGGCTAAGTAGTTGACTCATTGGATGTGTTTCGTAAAGTGATGAAAGGCCAAACGCAAGCAATACTGCTACAAAAACGAATTACTGAAGCGTTCAATCTCTTCCGCAAAAATAAAATGGAGGCAGTATTCCAAGACGTCTGCCATATGCAGACGACTGGTCGAACTATGCTTTTACAAAGAGCGGTGTACCGGAAAATTTACACGATAGAGTTAAATAAACAGCAAAGCATTCCAATTCAACTTCTATATCAAATGCTTATTGAGACGGTTTAGTGTAAACGCTGAAAATACATGTATTACCACTTCTTTCGTAACCGACAACTTTTCTAAACAACCTAAAAATTGAGCAACACATCTTCAAGCAACAAATTATGACGTGAGTCACAAATAGGTCTAAAAATCGTTAATAAAATGTTTACTATAGTGAAATCTAAAGCCTTACAAGCGTCAGGAAACAGTCAGAATGTGCAAAAATAGTTTTATCATGGAATGCGTATGTAGTTTTCAAAGCTACAAAATTTTAGTGCTTTTGTTAATAGCATCCGAAAAGTGAAGTGAAAGTAGTTTATCTCATTATTGTAAAGTAATTGGTGCACCTCAACAATCTAATACTTCCCTGCTTGTACTGTAAATTACTGACGAAACAGTTTCTTTAATAAGTTCCACCATTTCAACTTCACTGAAACTGCACAAAACCATAATTTAACAACAGTATTTATGCATCAGTAAAATTTAGGAAAGATTTTGAACTGCATCAGTGATCATCCTGTTGACAATCCGAACGTTGTATGAGACAACGAAGCGAATCGGTTTCCGGCGTCTATCGATCTTATGTTCCAAATCTTCATTGTTAAATAACTGTTCGGTCCAGTCACACGCTACTTGTCCCCTAAACTCAAATTGAGTCATTGCTTAGAATTACCCGCTCGAAACCAATATCCGAAATGCAGATTAGGAATAGGAGTAGAAATAATCCGGCAATAGCTCAATTATCCTCAAAAAAAGTAGGAAGCTAAAAACTGCCTACAATGCCTACACAATTTCTCTAGTAAAATTGCACCTAGCTAAAATTTTATAAACTGAACGATAGGACGGAAAGCGCGTTTTAAGGCTTCAAAAGCTATTTTGATAATACAGGAAACGAATCAATTTAAAAAACATCAAATGGAAAGGTGCTATTTACTGTACACAAAGAACGTAGAAAAAGAAGACCATAAAATGCAGATAAGCAGTATGACAGAATACACTTTTTTACAGCATAATTTTTGCTCAATTAGACTTCAGTTATTTAGATCTGAAAGAAAAATCCAAATCATTTTTTCGCAAACAGAAACCTAAATTTTAGCCATCAAAGGTCATTTGAATCAAGACCCAAATAATTTTTCCATCCGATACTCTAGTCACTCCAGAAGGCGAAACAAGTTTTTAGCATTTGTAAACGTGCTGTACCTTAATATGTGAAGAAAAGTTATTTTCAAAGTAAAGCACAATTTGCAGTTGCTAACTACAGTCTGCAGTTAAACACTATCGTTTCTTCATTCTCAAACACCTCCACTAAATAAGGGAACGAAGTAGAAGCAGTTGCCTCAAAATGTAAAAAGAGCGCAAGAGCCTAGAAGAGAAGTGATTCACAACCACATCATGCAACCTGCAAACTACAGTAAAAAACTTGGTTAACGAATTTGCTGTTGTTTTTCTATTTCCATAATATGAAGATAACTCGCTAATGACTTCTTAAAACGTTCAGGTGTTAAACAGCTAAAAATAAGATTTTAAGGTTATTGCAGTGGAAGAACTAAAAAGACTCCTAAAAAAAGCAGAAATAACAGAACGT